GTTAGTTAATTACATAAATGTATTTTTCTTCTATTGAGTGAACTGGTAGATTTGTGAGCTTGAACTTCCAAGTCTTTAAAATCATTAAAGGCAAGATTTATGAAATCTGGAACAACATTTTCAGAAGCTTCAAAATATTACTGTTTATATAGCTTAATCAAATTTTCAATTTCAATCAGTTAATCAACAAGTGGAGGTATTCTATATAAAGGACCGAGTCCCATTATACATTAAGTAATTCATTATTCATTAATAGTTTTTAGAAATGTAAGCCAATGCTTACATTAGAAGATGCATGATAGAAGCAGCTCAATAGCGGCTTCTATCAATGAACACAAGATATTTTCGAATGTCTTCGATTTGACAGAATGCAGCCTTCGTATCGTGGGTATTAAAAGATCGAATTTCTAACCATTTGTATTGATGAACGGCGTGTTTTAATATATAGAGTAGGACAAAAGTCTGGTGCCGTAATGTTCGATAATCTCTACTTGCTTTGTGTATACTGATGTTTGCCAAATGTATCCATTACAACAGTGCTTATTTCTACGACGGCAATACTTTATTATTCTTCCTGCTTATACTAATAATACCAAAATACTATTTTGGTAGCGGCCAAATTGTACATAAACTTAATAATATCCCAGAAACCATATACAAGGATCTAAATAAGAAATAAACCAAACAATATTTGATAAATTGAAATATAATTGTAATTATGATAAATTAAGTAAAATAATGAATCAACAATGATCAAGAAACTCAACAACATTCACGAAACTTGTAATCATCGTCAATTATCTTTAATGATAGTCCAAAACCAGAAACAATAAAGACAATCGGGAGGCCGAGTGCGGGAGAAATCAAATCGTGTTGCAAAATTTGTATTGCGCCGGGCGGCTTTCTCTTTCGCACGTCGTCCAGGATGCAGCCTTTGAGAGAGTTATTCGGCGAAAAGCGAGCATATTTCGCAATCGGCAAATAATAATAGAGGTTTGCGTCTAAATTAAAACCAAAACCAGTACCACCACGACGTTTTGTTTGTATCGTCGCCACGAGGAGGCGGTCTTTATCCATCTTATTACGTCACCGGCTCGTATGTAGGTCAGCGGTTCGATGGAGGTCGCCTTTCCACCAAGCAAAACGACCAGTAATATTTGCCATTTAAAAAGTCGCCCGTATCGCATCAATAATAACAACAAAAAAATAAGACACGAAGAGATATTTTGAAATAAACACAAAAAGAAGGATCTATTCTATTATTCAAAATACATAGTTAAATCGATAAATGCACAACACCATTTCTTAGAAACGTATACGGTTTCGCCTGTTGGTCGTAGTGTGTGCAGGTGTGTGACCGATCCCTGAGACTGTTTATTGATCTTTCTATAGGGTCAACAGACGGACGGAAAGTTGCGGAATTAGAATACCTGTGCGGAGGTCACTTCTATTACCATAAATTAGACGTTTCGTTTGTTGAGTGGAAGAAAGAGAGACGATTCGAAACGTTGAATGTTATGCTAAAGATGGTGCGTCATTTGCAAATGTGTTTGTCACCAAATCGGTTTCTTATTACAATTTATTTTTGAAATAACCTTAGATAACTGCACTTAGTAACACCTACTCATAACAAATGTTTTTTAGATACCTATTCTTTTCTTAATAGCATTTTTGTGTCGGCAATCAAACGTAATCTTATAGACTAACCAATAATCCATTGATGTCTTCTAATTTTGTTCTACATACACTGTGTTCTGCTTTATATAAGCAGTATATAATACATTACACAAATATCACATGGTTTTTTCCCTTAAGTGTTCGAATGTGCTGTTAATTGTCCAGCAGTTGAAAAGATTCTGCGTTGTCGTGGAGGTGAAGTCTACCTCCTTATTCCTACGGTTGGAATCTGGAAGTTTCTATGTACATCGGAATTATACATACCAGAGATTCTGGAATTTTTGAATACAATTGATGTTTGAGTTACTGGCATACTTCCAGAGTTGGTTGTCGTAGTGCCATATTGGTTGCAGGATCAAATTGTAAATCAGTAGGTTGCTGTAGATTGGAAGTTTGGAGATCCAGCATGTAAAGTTCCTATTGGGAGATTAAGCCAATAGAGCCAATTTTAATCTTTTTTTCTTTACATGCTCTAGTCATGTTTAGGTACTTGGCGTTGTTCTCATATAGGATAATGGTGTTATTTATATCTAGATGCGGTGAGTCTTTTGTGCAGTTTATTTGTAACATTGATCTGGACGTATTTTCTCCATTTTTGGTCCAGTTTTCCACTGCTATTAGTGCTGCGTTTTCTTGAACTCTATGTATGGCACTAGTATATAGCAGATATAGGCATAATTATGAAGAGTCTGTGCGAGATGTACAATGTTAATATCTGTCTATATTGTTTAGGGAGGATTTTGTTTAATTTGTGCCAAACTTGACATAAAAGTTTCACACAAAGTATTCAGGCATATTCAATATCAATTGATCTATCTTGATCAATTGTTGAGTGGTTTAGACTGATTCCAAATTCATAACCTAGGGAGGTATATATCCGGTTGTCCGGCATATCTATACGGCCATTATAGTTATAATTTCTGGTACATTTCTGAAGTGATACCCTACATTGCCACATTATTGCGATATTTGAATAAAAATGAAATTAATAAGAAAGCTGATAAGATATGTCAACTTATTTGGATCCAAGATACAAAATGAACTTTTTTGATGCTGATTTAACGA